GGACAAACTAAGCTTAATCTCCAGACATCTAGGTTTTTTGATAAATCCTTTTGTTTCTCTAAATTTTATTACAATCTTTGCTAATTATTCTCACAAAGTGGTTCATTTCGACAAACCTCACCTATTGAAAGTTGCTGAAAAAGAAATACTGAGGCTGGACTAAGTGATACTGGAATAATTGAAGGTAGACATTCTTTATCCTTCAGGAAACCAAATGTACAACCTATAGCACCCGATACGCATGACATATCAGTCCACAAGACTGGTACTAGTACTATCCAAATTAAGTTACTCAATTTCTGCCATATTCATTATCCAGTTCAAAGATTTGCTTGTAGTAAGTAACCTTTTCAAGTTGTAAATAACTTAAGACCTAAACGAAGGTCCCAAAATTGTAACAGAAAGCACCTTCATCTTCTCTAACATCAAACAAAATATCTGTAGTTTTCAATTCAATGAATAAATGAATCCAATTATTATTAAAGAATGTGATATTTTCACACTCTCTCAGCCATGTACAATTTCAGACTGTCATCATCTGATAGACGACCGACAGAATTTATCTTACTGGTAGATTGCTAATCATTTCTTACATCTTAAAATAAATAATATCATTTACCAACAGTTATAAAAACAAGTTATAACTTATTTCATAAATAAAACTTGAGTACCTCGGAGAAATCCTGTCTCAGTTGGGCATAATACCCCACACATCCTGACTTTTCATATTAGATAATTAAAAAAGGGATCAGAACTTCTAAGTCCATTACGTGGTGTAAGTTGATCAACTGTGTTTACACAATCTAGTCCCCCCCAACCCAAATATATTTAATAACATGCTGATGTTTTTCCAAATCTCAGAATGTTACATAGTACACTTAGTAAGCCGAGATATTACTTAAACTATTACTATACTTGTTAAAAAAACCAACAAAATGACTGCCAAGACTAACACATTAGATGAAGCAAGTCGACACCTAACATTCTAGTCCACTACGGATACATTAGATAAAATAAGTCTAAAATTCTAGTCCACTACAGATACATTAGATAAAATAAGTTGACATCTAAAATTCTAGTCCAGTATGGACACATTAGATAAAATAAGTTGACATCTAAAATTCTAGTCCACTACAGATACATTAGATAAAATAAGTCTAAAATTCTAGTCCAGTATGGATACATTAGATAAAATAAGTTGACTTCTAAAATTCTAGTCCACTATGGATACATTAGATAAAATAAGTCTAAAATTCTAGTCCACTATGGATACATTAGATAAAATAAGTTGACATCTAAAATTCTAGTCCACTATGGATACATTAGATAAAATAAGTCTAAAATTCTAGTCCACTATGGATACATTAGATAAAATAAGTCTAAAATTCTAGTCCACTATGGATACATTAGATAAAATAAGTTGACTTCTAAAATTCTAGTCCAGTATGGACACATTAGATAAAATAAGTTGACTTCTAAAATTCTAGTCCACTATGGATACATAAAATTCTAGTCCACTATGGATACATTAGATAAAATAAGTTGACTTCTAAAATTCTAGTCCAGTATGGACACATTAGATAAAATATGTTGACTTCTAAAATTCTAGTCCACTATGGATACATTAGATAAAATAAGTCTAAAATTCTAGTCCACTACAGATACATTAGATAAAATAAGTTGACATCTAAAATTCTAGTCCAGTATGGACACATTAGATAAAATAAGTTGACATCTAAAATTCTAGTCCACTATGGATACATTAGATAAAATAAGTCTAAAATTCTAGTCCACTATGGATACATTAGATAAAATAAGTCTAAAATTCTAGTCCAGTATGGACACATTAGATAAAATAAGTTGACTTCTAAAATTCTAGTCCACTATGGATACATTAGATAAAATAAGTCTAAAATTCTAGTCCAGTATGGACACATTAGATAAAATAAGTTGACATCTAAAATTCTAGTTCAGTATGGATACATTAGATAAAATAAGTCTAAAATTCTAGTCCACTATGGATACATTAGATAAAATAAGTCTACTTCTAAAATTGTAGTCCAGTATGAATTTAATTCCATATGTAATTAATCTATCAAAATCTTCTCACAATATTTCAAAGCAACTTATACTGTGCCACAATGATAAAAAATGCACCTTGTTCCAATATGTTATAACGCAGCCATTTTTTATTGGTCCTTTTCAGTGTTAATTGGCAATTAAGAATACAAATACAATTAATCTTAAAACACTTACATAATAAAAATAATGGTATGATGCAGTCACTAAAGACAACACTATCTACAAAGACTAAATCTCTTTACACATGGTGTTTTTGAAAATGCAAAATATTTGTATTCCATAAAGCCTAGTAGGTGACTTTAATTCTAGAACATAATCTACATCAGGATACATTGATAATCATTCTTGATGGTAAATATCATATTTTGAGAAAGGAAATTAAAAATAAATCATAATATTTTATAGAACATTTTTATACATAACATATTAAAGCAATATAATACTTCTAAACAATAAAGAAAACAAATATCGGAGTTAAAAAGGCTTATTGTCAATAACAGAGCCATGAATTCCTCAACGAAAACCACAAGTCCGTAAGAAGGCAGAGTCAAATGACTTGCTTCTCAATTACCCACTGAAATTCATGCTGGTAAATAGCCATTTTTTTTAAATTGATGAATGAATGGAACAGAAATGTGAGAAAAAAAATGAAAGTACAACTGGGTAACCATTATGAAAGCCGTATCGTCAAATGTTGATAAATAGTTGGTAAAATATATACCACATAGCACACTTCTACGAATAGCAGCAGTCAAGACAAGTTTTTCACTCCAGCAGGCAGACGAAACAAGAATCGTAGTATATATAAACAATGACACAACATCGGGCAAGCTCTTGTGTATATTTATTATATCTCCCAACTCTTGTCACTGTTTATCAATTTTATCAACTTAAAATGAAACAGACAATCGTAATTTGTCTGTGAACAAATTGTAAAGATTGGAATTATCAAATCTTCAAACTTGATGATTTCCCGTTGTTAAAAAACAACCATTTTTGCCTTGAAGTTTGTTTGAAGAAATTTAAGTAATTTTTTTATAATACTATTTCATTTATTTAGAAATGTCTCTGGTAAAAGCTGGGGTTTAAAACACATTCATATTACACTCAAACCTTCTATATTCAGATTTTCTTTATAGATATTTTGCAAACTAGGTCCATCCTATAAAGTCAGGGTCAAATCTGGAAGTTTTAAACCATATTATACGAAGGCACAAGTTTCAATTTCAACACTTTTCTTATTTTATAAATCAAATGAAATTAACATCTTTATAAAATTTGTCATTCAGAGGAGCTTTTGTGCAAAATTGTTTCAAGAAGAAAACTTTGAAGTAGACTTGTCACTCTAACAGTTGCATCTAAATCAGCTTCATTGGAGAGCCAAGCAAGGCTGACATCAGGTCCAATTAAACTCCTATATCTTTTTTATAAGTACAATTGTATCTAAAATATAAAGTAATTGTTGAAGTATTTGATGTAATTGAGCAGTTCAACTTTTTTTTCATTTAACACAGTCATAAAATAATCAAAGAAGGGAGTTAATTTAACTTCGGTAGCAGATCAAATTATACATGTGATAAAACCGTCTGAAAAAAACTTTTATTTATTTCCTTCTTTTTTATCATTATTATTATTTTTCACACGACAAAACGTGTTTCTTTTCGTTCAGAATACCTGGTATCAAAACGGAATTATAGGTTATCTTCATTACATCGATAATTTTGTGGTTGTAACTCTACATAACCTACTGAGTGTAACTTTATATGTATCTCCTCATTGAAAAAAGAAGATTTTTTATTCTTCATGAGAAAAAAATGTGAAAAAATAATCAAATTTTATTGTATTGTGTTTTATATAATTACATTATTGCATTAGAATTTGAATACATGACCTATCAAAGTATCAAACAATGTAACAAAGTAAAAACTACATAAGTACACAACTAAAGTTATATATAACGACCCGATCAATAAAATAACATCAAATATAGATCATTATTTATGACATGTCCAACATTGTAGCCAATTAAAAAAATTAGAATATATTTAATTTGAAAATAAAACATGTTATAAAATTTTTGTGTTAACATTACAATCGTTACAAACTAAATCTGTCTATACCTGATAATTCATGTACTTATTATAAAGAAATGGCAAACAAAACTAAAAATCAGCAAAAAGTACTAAAGAACATTTAATACAAAGGAAGATTTTCAAGATACTATCATGTTCAGTGATAGCTGACGAGATTAAATCTGTAGTCTGTTGAAGGCAAGCCATTAAGATAAAAACTAATATATGCAAATAAAAAGGTAAAGACATAAAAAGACTGTAAGGCCAATTAACCAGCTATTGTCATTTTCACCTGGTTAAACAGCTAAATAAATACAGTATTTCAGGGGTTTTTTATTGTTCATTGAATTGGTCGACTCTTGTGTCATGAAAATTACTTTTTAAAAGATTAAAACAACTTTTAACATTTTCATAACAAATTTAATGCAAATGTTTATAAAGATTGTTATTAAGAAAACTGTTAGGTGATTTGTGTAAATTTACCTGTCTGTAAATTACATAAAGTAATCATAGGGAAAAGACTGGAATAAAACCTCTAAATATCTTTTGTGATCAGTTACAATAAATCAATTAATATCCAGACTTAAAGATTGAAACAAAACACATATCAAAACTAATCAAAAAGTAAAGATATCAGTAAAATGAGAAAACCAAACTTTTTTTAACACATAAAAAAAGTTAGGTTTTCATTTGTAACAGAAGCAAAAGAAAACATCTCCTGCTAAAAGAAAATGTGGATAAATTAACATAAAAAAGTCAGCATTACATAATAAACTTAAAAAAAAAGATGTAAACATAGTCAGAAATGAAAAAGGTGGGAAAAATGTTGATAGATGGTGTACTTACCCTATCCAGCGAGGGGTCGGGGTGCTTGTCCAGCTGCTAAAGGTGTCATTATACATTGTAGTAAACTCTCACAAGTTAAAGCCGTGGTACTGTGGGGCAAAAACAAGATAAACTTCACTCCCCCCAAAAAAACACAAGATAACTTCACTTTGTTGAAAAAACTGACTCAGGATCTCCTTACATCTACACACCACAGGGCATGTCGCTCCTCTCAAGTCAACCAACTTTTTGGTAGTCTCCGATAGTTTTTTAAAAGGCTTATACCAATACAGTGTATAGGAGCAATCAATTGGTTTAGGCTAATTGATACCTCCACCGCCACCAAAGAGACAACTCTGTCAGTAAAAATACTGATGTTCTTATAACTACTCTATCACAATGAGGTGGTCATTGATGGTCAAGTGTCCTGAAGTGACCACTATCTGGTAGGGTTAGCTCTAACATGTTGGACAACGACACACCACTGTAATAGGTTAATTGGCTTATGAACTGAGAGAGGTATATACTACCACAGACTGTTGTCACATCTACACTTGTATGTATGTACAGAGAGATCTACTCTAGCTGGCAAAATGGGCATGTGTTTTAGTGTGGCAAACCATACCACACGCTAGGCGAAACAACTCAGACTCCTACAGTCGTACACCCTACACTTAACAGTACATCTCTAGCTATCTAACTGTGTTATAATAGTATCAACCTGGACAAGTCAACTTCTACCTAAAATCTTTAGCACCATTTATACATGGGATATCAATATCAATTATTAACTTTGGTAATTTCTGCTCTCCCTTTACCATACAAAGGATATCTTATATATGAAAATTCACTGAAAGGTAAGTTTCAAATTTTTAGATTGAAACATATACATTTTGAAAATATTCATACTTAAATAGGACACAGATATCACATTTCAATAATGTCCAAAACTTATAATAAAATTTCTGTTTCATTAATTTTCAGTCTTCTATTTTTAAAAATAATTTTAGGAATTCTCATTTACTGAGGATATGTTTGACTATTTAAATCAAAATCATGATATTTTACTTATCAATATGAAAAAAAAACTGACAGAATATGTTGGTGTTAATTGTTACTTCTATAAGGTAGTGATATTAAAGGACAACCCGTTGTCGGCATATATCCTTTACTAGTATATATATTTTGATTATCACTTTAAAGCTGATTTTTTAGACGACAGTTGAAACCTTGACAATATGTTCGTCATAGAACTTTAAACTTTTGTAAAACAATATTGCTTTCCATGTTTCATAATAACAACTAAGAAATACAGAATACCGAATCGAGTCTGTAGACAAGTATAAAATAAATTCCGCATCAAAAATACAAGCTCAACTAATTAAATCTGTCCAAATAGAAGTATTCAAAGACTCAAATTTCATACTACAAATACATCTACATTGTACTTCAATGATGAGATTTTTAGCAACTTTTCTTGTAATTTTAATCAGTGTAAATCATAAATTCACTTTAGAATGTATGGTAACTGAACCTTAAGTCAACCTGAAAAAAATAAAATTAATAATTAATAATTATCAACTCTTTATAACTATACACAAAATTATGAAAATAAATTAGAGTTTGACCAATCAGAGGTGAAGTTTTTAAAGCATGCAATTAGTGATCAATAACCACGATGAAATAATGGGAAATGTGTCAATTATAATATGACCATCTTCCAAAGCATTTACATGCTAATCACATGTAAAGAAATCACCAGGGCTTTTTTTGCAGACAAAATTTAGTCCATTATGGACAGTGAACTTGGAGAAACTGATATTTGTTTCAAGCATGTATTACTTAAAATCTACAGCCAAAAGTTGTCAAAGTAATCATGTTCACAGTAAAATTGTTTAGATCTTTTAAACCAAATATATACAATTACAGTATGTGATAAAGAAATTAAACAGAAAATATGTGATTAAGTAAAGTTGTCACATCTGAAAAAACTACAAACTAAAACATTTAGTGTTAACATATTTCAATTTTATTTGTACTATACTTCATCAAGTATTAATTAACTAAATGTCTGATAAAAACATTTGAGTCATTTGTACTTCTACCAATAATTATGTAAAGTCAATTATGCTTTTAAAGTTACACATGCTGAAGTTAATTCCAAAAGGACTTTCTTTCTTTAAATTATTCAAAAGTATTTTCTTTCTTTAAATTATTCCAAAAGGATTTTCTTTCCTCAAATTATTCCAACAGGACTTTCTTTCTTTAAATTATTCAAAAGTATTTTCTTTCTTTAAATTATTCCAACAGGACTTTCTTTAAATTATTCCAACAGGACTTTCTTTCTTTAAATTATTCAAAAGTATTTTCTTTCTTTAAATTATTCCAACAGGACTTTCTTTAAATTATTCCAACAGGACTTTCTTTCTTTAAATTATTCCAAAAGAATTTTCTTTCTTTAAATTATTTCCAAAGGACTTTCTTTGAATTATGTTATTTGCCTGAACGTACATGAATTAAAAACGACAACATCAGGGACATTAAGTATCACATTTTCACACATTTATATAAAAATTTTATCTTGTGGTTTATAGGTTGAAAAAAAATAGAGATATATGACAAGTTGTTACCTTAAAAAAATCCTCCCATGTTTATAAAGCTCTCCGATGAAAATGTCAGTGTTGGTTATTAAAGAATAATTTTCTTCGGACGATTATCAACTCAGGTGCGCACAAACCAAACTCAGCTCAATGACTCGTCATTTATTGTAATAAAAAAAAAAAACTGCTATTTTGTACGAGACTTTTAACAGTTTTCTCACCATTAATGTATTATGAACACAGGATTAAAAACCGGCATATTACCGAAAGGAAGAACCAGCTATAATCAGAGATAAAAGACTTGCCAGGGTATTATTTCATAAGAATAGGATAGAATGTAGTTTCACAATACACATAATTTTCTGGAAAACTTTTCATGCAAAAATCAAAATCCGGAATATTAAATTTTTTAACAATATATTCATCTAAATTTTTTTATGGCAATATCCTGATATTTAGTTTTGTTTAAATTTTTTATTTCCATGTATATGCATCATGTTATGGTTCATCTGCAACTAAAAAAACCATGCCTTTCAGTTAAGTATTCATATCACAAAAAAAACTCAAGTTTGCAATTTCCCCGTTTCAGAAAAGAATAGTTATAGTAAGATCTCCTTGAAAAAAATATTCTGTTTTAGAAAAGTCTAATTATAGTAAATTTGCCTTGAAATTTGTTTCATAATTTTTGAGCTGGTCTGGTGACTGATAGGAATTTTTGAAAGAAATGTAAATTGGTAGTTTCCTTCCAAATTTACGAGTATAAAATCCATCCCTTTATTATTTAGATTTTAAAGAAATTATTGCATTCTTGATCAATTTTGTAAATCAAGAAATCAGATAATCAATAAATCCATATTTCACTACTATATATCAGAAAGATTTGATTAGTTCATCCCTATCAAATATAGTGGTCATTCTTTGGAGATTCTTATGAGACCCTCTCCTGCACCCTGCTTTTCAGAACTCTGACTTTTCCACCAGTTTCTACAGATTTAACAGAGTATATTTGGTAGACTGTCATGAACAATGGTCTACCATTTACATACAGAATTAACTTCAGGGTTTGAGAGACCTAAAAAAAAAAAAAGAGAGAAAGAAATCACTTCTAAAGTGTGATTGGTTTGTTCAGAAAATTGTTGGCATCCAGGCATATAAGCCAACACTAAGACCTTGAGAACTTTGAAATGAACACACCAGTGACCATCCAACCCACTGGAGTAATATTTATACACAAGTTAAGACAGATCGTAAAACACCTCTTAACTGGTACACATTTGATGTTGTGGTTCTTGAAATAATAAGAACAAATATGATTTTGTTCATATGTTAATAGGTTATAAGAGTTTGGTTTTTTTGTTCCATAAAATAATTATTGGTACAGTTCTAGGTTAGCTGTCATATGACATTTACTTATTCTTGGCCCAGAACAACTTGGGTATATCATATTTACAGAAATTATTATGACTGCGAACAAATCATTTCTTTTCTTTGAGTTTCGTATGTCAGACTTGAAAAGCGATTATACACATTTATTTTGAGATTTCTGGGGAAAAAGACATAGTGTAGCAGTGAAATATGTGTCAGGAAAGATAACAATCAAATGTTTTAATGTCTACAAATATTCTGATAAAGAATGAGTATTTTTCAATGATTCAAAGATGGAAAAATTGAAATGAATAATTACTTCAATTTCTAAAGATTTCCTAATCAAACTGAGAAGGATTAAAATAAGATACATCAAGATTTGACAGAAATAGGTCCCTTTTGTCTTGCTGAATCTGAGGTACCAAAGCTACCCTACAAATAAAAGCCGAGCATGATCCATCTCTAACATCTAAACAAAATGCTGCGGTAATTAATAACAAACCCAACAGACTATGCACCTGTCAGTCATTTGGTTTTCTGATCAGCACAAACCTAAACAAGGGACCAAAGGGAGATAACTTATATAATAATTCTTCCAAAGATCAAGAAATAGGTATAACCAACTAAAACTGCCAAATCCAAGATAGCTGCCTATCGTCCAATTTTTTTTCTTTTTTGCAATCAGTCCAAAAATGAACAATGAACAAAATTTACGAATGGAATTTAAGAATGATCCATTCAGTACTTCAATAATTAATGATAAACTATCAATTGTAAAAATCCAAGATGGCCAAATGCCACTTATTTTTTTTCTGAACAGTCCCAACATTAAAGGGGCACAACTATAGGGACCAGAGAAAATCTACATGAAAAATTTGAGAAAGATCTCCAAAAATTGAAAACAACAAATAACATCATACATGATAGTATTGCAACTTGAAAATAAACTTTAGTTTCAGTGTAGAATCAGTCCATGATTTTCTATATAGAGAAAGGGTGACCTTGGCCTTGACCTTGTTCACCTGAAACACAACAATATCCCAGTATACTTAAAAATTATCTTTGTAAAAAGTTAGACCTAAGGCCATGAAAGAATAAAGCTACAAAAGGTT